CAGTTTGTCACAGCCCCTCGTTTGTTGTCCTCTTCTCCCTCTCTGCCTACGGTTTACCGTGCAGTTCTATTTGACGATATATATATATATATATTGTCACATTATTAGATCTACATGATCCAAACAGTGCTATCAGTATGGGTTCCCATTATTTGACGACAAACAATAACAAAAACAACAACAACGACAACAACAATGACAACGGTACTTGGATGACACATTATCGCACTCACCAACATGCCGTGTGATCAGCGCATTGTGATGCACCGTGGCCCATGCCAGCAGCACGCCTTGTCACCATCCCATCATACCAAGTTTTAGAGGATTCTCTAGGGTGTTTCCCGTTGCCACAAGGTGAAAGCAGTTGAGGGCAGGAGAGACGTGCGAAGGGGGAGGAATGAGTGACAGGCTTCGAGTGGCAAGACTGGGTGTACGGGCGAGAAACAGACTATGCTGGCACAGGTCCGAAGTCAGAAACTATCAGAGGATGACCAGAGGAAGCATCTCAGTACGGCGCAGGAAAAAAAAGCTGAGGAAACAAGAGCTAGAGGAGCTCGAGGCGGAGTTGGAGAGGAAGAGGGCGGACAAGGATCAGGTGGTAAACCACCAGCCAGTTAGGGCACCCAAGTACCAAGTATTTTTGTGTGCCCGTATTACGAGGACGCCGTGGTGAGGTTCAGCCTACTATGGGACCCAAGGGGGGTTACTAGAGGGGTGCATAAAATTTCAAATGCCCCAAGTCTGGATGGCACCTGTCATGCACGCACACTGCAGTGAAGAAGGCCATTCTTGCAAGCGAGGTGAAGACAACGATCAACTGTGGGCCCTCTGGGAACTCGCTGTGCGAGAAGGCCGTTAAGGGACTGCACCTAGGGCCAAAGGGGGTGAATATAAGGGTGGTGAAGACGATGATCGACATGGGTGCCTCTTAGAACTGTCTCTCTTCCCGAGAAGACCATGAGAAGGCTGCGCATAGGAATAAAGAACGGTGCTTGATCGACATGTCTAGCCCAGTATGGGCCAGTAGTAATCAAGATTTCACAGTATGTGTCTGCTGGCATCCCTATAGTCTTTGGCAAGAGGAAGGCAAAGTCCGCCATCGACTGTCGTTTTATGTAACGGAACCATGTTATCACAGAGCTCGCGGCTGTGCAACACAGTACTTGTTGGCCATGTGGATTGAATGAGCTGTCCTCTTCTGTCCCATTTCAATAATGAATGTCCTGTACTGTCCCATCCAATTGGACAGTCAGATTGTTCTGGGGAGCATCAGGCTCCCCTCTCCTATCCTGTCCACCATCGGATAATCCTGGTGTCCGTTGTTTTCGGATTTTAAATTTCACGTGCTGTCTTATCCCACCTGGAACAGTTATTTCCTGTCCTGTCCCAGACCATTGGAAGCTTATGTCCCGTCCGGGCCAATTGGCTAGCTATGTCCCATCCCTGGCCCATCAGATAGTTATGTCCTGTCCTCGCCCATTTTGGTAACAATCTTGTACCGACTACCAAATCTAACGGGAAACCTTTTTTTTTTTAAGCAACAATCTCACGCCCCCGTACCCACCGCCCCCATCCCCTGAGAAATGCATTGCTTCTTCAATGAAGTCCCCCACTACCGTCTTCACCCGAATACAGCGCCCGGTCATTATCACCGTACCTAGACCAAACGTTGCCCCAAAGACAGTGATAATGACTGGGCGTTAGATTTGGGTGAAGACGGCAGCCAATCAATCATTGCGTTGTCCAGACTTCAGCATTGTGGAACGGCGGGATGACCCTTACCTTTGTGCTTACTCTGATGACAGAGAGACTCGTATATGACTGTGGTGTGACAGGCAAGCACGTGTACACGCAATTGGGTTGGACCGATCAGGAAAACAGTGCATAGCCTTGAATCTATGCGCCCCCTCTGAGGAAGCATGGGGCTGGCAAATACACTGGCGAGCTCTTTCACTGCTGCTGGGCTTTAGGAGGTCATCGTCATCATCATCGGTCTCCATCCTGCACCCACACTTGTATCAAGTCTCAGATCCCAAGTTTCTGGAGCCTTCTACAAAGTCAACTTCTCCTGGTGTCACATTTTTTCTCTCATGGCAGTTGAATCGTCGGCATGGTGGTGTAAATACGGTGTACAGGCCGATGATCGCTGTGAATGGTGGCGCTGGAGGTGGAGACAGAAGCCTGCTTGCTCATGCTTTGCCAAAGTGGGAAAGTGGGGGGTTGACCTCAGGTAGCCTGGATCGGGGCCCTAAGCATGGGAGCTTCTGTCTAAGTGGAGGGGTAGAAATGATGCTTACAGAAGATGAATGCACTAATCTCAGCCCCCAGATCTCAAGTTCGAGGGTTGGTCTGATGCCTGGCGCTATAGGTGGGGGGCTTAATCAGGTGGAGAGGAAGAATCAAGGAGAAGGGGGATTATCTGTTGTTGTCAAGAGTGGGAAACGAGGGTCTGACGACTTTGAACTGGCATGTTTGCCGGATGGGAACATCCTAAACAGGGATGATGAGCTGTCTGAAAATGGTCCTGGACACTTTCCCAGCAAGCATAAGGATAAGGATGAGGGTACTGCCTCCAGATCCAACCACAGTGGGGACTCGTCAACTTATGAAAGGGGAGGATTGCGATTGAGAGAGACCTTACCAGTGGGTGATGATGATCAGGAGCGGGGGATTAAGAAAAGGACGAGTGACAAGCAAGAACATGCCCACGCAAGGAAGACGGGAAATGCTCGAGTTCGGCGCAAAGGTCGTCTGAAAGGGGGTCAATGGTTGGCAGCATCAAGGCAACGTACTGGGAAAGATGGGGCGGAGAGAGAAGTGCGGTATGCGCGGCAAACGAAGGAATATAGCCCTATTGTTGAGGAAGTGCTGCTGAAGGCTAGAAAATATCCAGTTCGGGACATACTTGCGAAGCTGGGTAGGCAACTGTCACAGTCTCAGGCGATGGACATCCTCAAGGAGTTTCAGAGGACACACAATTGGCACTGCACTTTACAGGTACATCCTTACAGGAGATCACCACACTTCCAATTGACACAGAAGAGGAATCGTTATGTCTTCCTTCCTCTTCTGAAGGCTGGGAGGAAAATTTGTTATCGATTGCAATATGGTACGCACTGTACAACACACATGTACATAGATTACGTATGTCTGTGGATGCATGTCTCATTTGCACGTGGGCATCGGATTCGCATTGGCTTGATGACATAATCACACAAAGGAGTGGGAAAGAGACAAAAGTGTATAGCTGGCAACGATATCTTTCAGGTCAAACTATTCACAAATGAATAAGTTCAGGATCCAGGGAGATGAATCGAACACAAGGGAAAAAGGGGGAGGCAATAAGGTTAAATGGCACAAAGGAGATGAAATATGTGTTGCATGTTGATGAAGAATTGGGCTGGTGATGATCCACACCTTCTAGATAATCCTCAGCTTCCAGGTAACCTACGGAAAATTCAGTTAATGAAAGTCTGTCACTGTCTATGAGATTATCCTGTTTTAAATTTTGAATGTATTTGCAATGGACATGAGATGAGCGTTGCTCATGCAGCTGGCATGCAATGAAATGAAATGAGTGCCGAACAGTTTCTGACCTTGTTGTGGTGTAGTCAGCAAGATACGGACCTGTGGCTTGACAGTCTAGAGATTCACATCCCTATATGTGGATGTAGGCGTTTGAGTCATGCAGCTGCGAGGACTCACCATCCCCAGCAGGTTACAGAGGCCCTTTGTGACCAGGGCCAGGGTCCAGGCTGTGCAACCTCCTGGTGTGCGACATCACACTTTGGCTTTCAGCCAATCAGGAGGCTCCAAACAGCAGAGGCCACATCGCATGGTTGGAGTGGCCTAACTGCTTCGGTCCTAGGCCAGTATCTGAATTGGGCCTGGGGGCAGACACGTTGGCCCGACGTGAAGCTACTGGGAACCTCGGCCTCCAGCCCAGGCCGCGGCGCCAGGCAAGGGAAGCGCCAGAGGGGGGGGGGTGGCATTCTGGCCTCGGGCGTACTGGCCGTAGTGCTGCTGGTTTGAGCGCTGAGAGGCTGCCGGGCGCTGGTGTCAGGCGCACATGGGCGCACACGGG